TTTTTTACTTTGCATGATATTGGTGCAACTGTTTATCAAATCAATTTTTTTCAGGAAAAAATAAATCAAAAATTATTTTAGTGCACACAATTTAATCCCCAACTTTTTGTACAGAATAAAAGATGAGGTTGTATACTGTAAATAGATACCAAATATGTCACGCCTCAAAATTGTGAAAATGATGAAAAATGGCAAAAAATTACTGTAGCAAAATTACCACACAAAAGTCATGTAAAAGTGATTGGGCAGCTCTACAAGGGTCATGCTATCCAGCAGTCATACAGTATATACACTATATTGCCAAAAGTATTGAGAAGTCTGCCTTTACACGCACATGAACTTTAATGTCATCCCAGTCTTAGTCTGTAGGGTTCAATATTGAGTTGGCCCACCCTTTGCTGCTATAACAGCTTCAACTCTTCTGGGAAGGCTGTCCACAAGGTTTACGAGGGTGTCTATGGGAATGTTTGACCATTCTTCCAGAAGTGCATTTGTGGACAAGAAGGCCTGGCTCTCAGTCTCCACTCTAATTCATTCCAAAGGTGTTCTATCGGGTTGAGATCAGGACTCTGTGCAGGCCAGTCAAGTTCCTCCACCCCAAAAACACTCGTCCATGTCTTTACGGACCTTGCTTTGTGCACTGGTGCGCAGTCATGTTGGAACAGAAAGGGGCCATCCCCAAACTGTTCCCACAAAGTTGGGAGCACAAAAATGTCTTGGTATGCTGATGCCTTAAGAGTTCTCTTCACTGGAACTAAGGGGCCAAGCCCAACCCCTGAAAAACAACCCCACACCATGTTCCCTCCTCCACCAAACTTTACACTTGGCACAATGCAGTCAGACAAGTACCGTTCTCCTGGCAACCGCCAAACCCAGACACGTCTATCGGATTGCCAGACAGAGAAGCATGATGCATCACTTCAGAGAACACGTCTCCACTTCTCTAGAGTCCAGCGGCGGCGTGCTTTACACCACTGCATCCGATGCTTTGCATTGCACTTGGTGATGTAAGGCTTGGATGCAGCTGCAAGGCCATGGAAACCCATTCTATTACGCTCTCTACGCACTGTTGTTGTGCCAATCTAAAGGCCACACAAAGTTTGGAGGTCTGTAGCTATTGACTCTGCAGACAGTTGGTGACTTCTGTGCACAGTGCAATTCAGCATGCGCTGACCCCGCTCTGTCATTTTACGTGGCCTACCACTTCGTGGCTGAGTTGCTGTTGTTCCCAGTTGCTTCCTCTTTGTTATAATCACTAACAGTTGACCGTTGAATATTTAGTAGCAAGGAAATTTCACGGAAAATCTGAATCCAATGATTTGGAGGGGTGTCCCAATACTTTTGGCAATATATATCCCCATCACACACTCCATATTCTTCCTGATGAAGGGACCCTGGAAGGTCCCAAAATGTTGCATTTTCCTATTAATATGCTAAATGAATGTCAATAAGGACAAATATTGAAGCAGAAGGTGTGCCAGCTACATATCTTCCTTATGCTATCCAGCAGAGGACATACTATCCTACAAGCCTGTGAAGCCTGGAGTTCTTGAAGAGAGCACATATTTAATACACTGTCCTCCATGAATAGTGAGTATTAAAGCTCTTTTGAACTTTCAGTTAATATAGCTAAATAAACTCCTGGTGTATAAAAAAAAGGTGTGAAGTCTTACAGTTTATTCTCTTTAGAAAGCAGCCACAGCCTGAGTAAAAAAAACTGTCCCCTACCAGCAGCTGCAGAGTGGGACCCTTGCTCTATGTGTGGAAGCAGGGGTTTATCTGCAGAGGTGCAACAAGCACACCACGCTTGCTGCTGAGTCAGACCTATAGTTATGCAATCAGCAAAACTCATGCTCTTGGATGACTGGAAATCTCTCGCATGTCAGACCTCTGCAGAGAGAAGACTGCTTCCCTCCCTCTGTACAGCATACTGCCAGGGAACAGGTTTTCCTACTCAGGCTGTGGCTGCTTTCTAAAACAGACTGTAAGACTCTGCACACATTGGGCCTAATAAACTATTGTTGATCCAACATTTTTTAGGTGCACATGTGATGCACACTCGATATGCGCTTAATTATCAACAATAACTTTGGTGTGTGCTGTCACTGTGCAATATGCACCTTGAGGATGTTGTTTATTAAGGGCACTGTGCACACACAAATATACATGGTGCAATGCCCTGTGTATCATCCATCTGCATATAACTATGTGTTGTCTATTTGTTTGTTTTGCCAACCCCAAACTGTGTCTGAAGCCCACTAAGTAATGAGAAATAATGATGAGCATACCAAGCAAGGTTTGGTTCACTGTACGTCCATCCAGCACTTCACAAACGCCACACAGCACCCGAAGCCCGCCAAGTAATGAGAAGTAATGATGAGCATACCAAACAAAGTTTGGTTCACTGTAT